AAGTGGGAGTTAACAGGAGTCAGTGTGAGGAAGTTTCATTATTTCAAGTATATAAGCCTAATGATCAATCCAAGGGGGCAGTTCTTCCATGGTGACATAAAAATGGTATCAGATATCACATCCTGGCTCTGAAGGACATCAGAACGGAGAGGGGACTGACACTTAAATCCATCTCCCTCATCTTTGCACTTCATAGAGGGAAGAGAGCCGCTAGTTCCAATTCACTTTGGCAAGTGTCACCTAATTGAGTTAGATTTATTCAGAGGCTAAGAGCATGGGCCCAGGGCCAGACCACATGGTGTGAATCCCCACTCAGCTGTGCACTGTGACAAGCAGCTTAATCTTTCTGTGTCTCAGTTTCTCTGCTTGTAAAAAAGCAGCTACTAAAAGTATCGATTTTATAAGGCTATTGTAAAGATTAAATTAACCAATATATGTAAAAATCCTTTAAAAGAGTGCCAGGCACATAGTGAGTACCTGATAAATAAATGGCAGCTACTGTTAAGTTGCCTGTAATATACTGTGAGAATGCATATTACAAGTAGAGATCCCAGTTGGCCTCATTCATACAACTAGGGATGTTTTCTTGGTAGAGTCAACAGCTACCTGGACAGCATCTCTCCAGGTAACATTTCTCTTCATGTTTGAGGCACTGGAGATAGTGGCAAGAGGAACTCGGCAAGGGTCTTAAAGGGTGTCACTCATGACAGTGTTATACCCCTCGAGTCAGGCAGACTCATTGAGAAGTAAACTGGAATTCTATACAAGACGCTATGGGAGGGAATCATGTGCATCTTACCATCACTGATATTTTCTACCTAAAGTAAATAAACAAACAATGCAAACCAACGGGATGGAGCAGTGGTCAGGAGTCCAGGCTCTGCATCTGAACACAGCTGGGTTCAAATATCAGCTCTGCTCTTACTGCTGGTGTGACCTGGGGCAAGTCATTTTACCTAACTTTCAAACCTTATTTGTAAAACAAAGATAAAAACAGTATCTGCATAACACAAAGTTTCTGTGTTAGGATTAAATTACTTCATGCACATAAAGTAGATAACAAAATAAGTGCTCAGTAGATGTTAGCTATTATTATTATTACCCACTGTCAGTTTCTCTCTCTTAATTGTTGTTTTAAATTACACTTAAAAGGGCAGAGATGACAAATAGTTTTCATCTCATGAGTCAACTCTGATCAATTGGTTGGGCCAGCTTGAAGCATTACGATGGAAAGGATTTGAAGTCTTGTCTTAATGTGGTAGCAAAGAGTGCAGCGATTGATTAGTGATGTCTGTCCTGGGCACAGGAATGAGCAGTATTGGTATGGAAGCTGTCTCTGCTACAGAGAGTTCCTGATTAGATGTCTTAGAGCCATTCTCAAACTCAGCAGGGATGCAAAGAGAGCAGCAGTAAATATGGTTTGAGTGTGAAAGGAAGAAGTGCGAATCAGTCTCATCTACCATATTTGGAAAAGAGCGAAGTTTTGTCACTAGAGGTTTACTCTCTGAAGATGTCCATCCTTATTAGGCTTTAAGACACTCATTCTGAGTCAGAGACAAGGTCTACCCACTCAGAGGCACCATGCAGACCCCACGAATGGTATAAGAAAGAATCTGGAGAGTCTGGGTTCTCTTTCTAGCTGAAGAATCCTCAGACCATCTTAGCCTGGCCCCCAACAGAGTGATTATCCATCACAAACTTAGATTCAGTCCTTGGTCCAGTTCCACCTACTTGCCACACTCCTTGCAGGGGAAGATGGTGGTGGGGTCTGTCTCGCCACTGGTGGTGCTATGAGAGGGCGAGCTCTTCACTGAGCAGTACCCGCTCTGGGCACTGCCAGGCTTCTGCTTCCCAGAGGGGACAGCACCCCGAGCTTTGGTCACCTGGTTGGTGCCACCATGGATGCGGGCGTGGCCGTTCAGTGCCTGTCGAGAGCTGAACACCTGGGGAAGAAAGGGAGTGACATGACATCTACAGTCCTGAAAAGGAAATTAGGGTTATTAGTTACTCAATGGTAAAACACGTGATACTTGAAACAGTGTCTAATGACAGGGTGCAAGGGTTTTACATAAGCAAACTTTGGGCACGTGCTAAAGAAAGTAGAGAGATCAAACAGCACAATCACAAATGCTGTGCCAACAAAATACCCCATCGTTGTTATAACCAGAAGACGAGAGGTGATGCGGCACAGTGTGAAGGCCAAAGCTGTACGTCAGGAGACTAGGGGGCTAGATCCAGCACCTCTGTCTAACAGGGAGGCTCTTGGGCCATTCTCCCTCCATCCACATTATTTTTTTTCCAGCTGTAAAATGAGTTGGGTTGGACCAGCTTTCAAACTTCTTTTAAGCAGGAAACTACTTTTTCTTTTTTTGCCCTTTCCTTCTTTCTTCACTTTTCTTTTTTCTTCAGCAAATCAGGTCTTACTCAAAAGCTCAAAGTTTAAAGCAGAGGCGCTCTGCCTGAAAGAGAGATAGCACCCCAGAATTGAGCCTATTTTTTCAGCTTCCCCTCTCCCCAGGAAGCCCTAGAACCCCAAGGAACACAATTTGAAAAACCATCAGCAGCTTTGACACATTCTATATCCAAACCCCAATCAGTTGCCCATTATTGAAGCAATGTTTCAGACCCCCCAATTTTATTATAGGATGGTAAAAAAGGGAAGGATCTTGACATTTCTTGAAGCTTACCATAAAGCAGGATTTCCCAACCTCAATACTACTGACATTTGGGGTTGGGTAACTGTTGAGGGTGGGGGGACTGTTGAGCAGGATGTTTAGCAGCATCCCTGGCTTCTACCCACGAGATGCTATCCACCTCTTCAGTTGTGACAAAAATATCTCTGGACAATGCCAAACGTTCAGGGGGAACAAAATCATTCTCAGTTGAGAACCACTGTTGTAAAGGGATATAATCAACATCCCTGAATTCCAAGAGCCCCAACTCCTGCTTGTTAAATGCATCAGCTAATGGGAGTACCCCCTGAGCTGCCCAGCTGTTAAGTGGTTACTCTGTTAAGTTCATGAGCTCTGTTTATGGTCTTACAGAGAAAAAAATCTATTGCTAATTTAGCAACCCAAACATCCATGGTTAGGCAAGGATTAAAACTAACAGGCTTTTTTTCCCTGTGATTTTAAAGTTATTAAAAAAGTATCCATCTTGCTGAGCCCGTCTGATTGGGAAATGTAAAAGATAAGGTCTCACTCAGTAAAGAATTTACTGTACATCAACACTAAGAGTTGAGGAAGCATCCAACTTCTAAACAAATTCACCAAGAAGTACTGTCACTTAAAGTCACATTTTAATTATCCCCAAACGGAAGCAGTCTATACAAAATGGCAATGATGGAGTGAAGCGTCCAGGTCATCAAACATCAAAGACAGAAACAAACTAGCAATTTCTTAAGTTCTTTTCAAAGCTAGTGCAAAATGTCTATATATATTTTTTAACCTTTTCATTTTTTGTTAAATGTAAATCAAGTGAATTTCTGCTTTAGGTTCTAAATATTGTAAAGACTATTACTTTCTTCATCTAAGCGACAGACTCACTGAGCAGCATTCAATACACTCTGGAAAACAGCATTGTTCTACATAACGTATAAGCAAAGATAAGTGCTCACTTGAGGAAAACAGGGCTTCTTGTGAAAACAGCAAAATTCTTACTCTTCAAGTAATTACTCTAGAACTTGCCTGTACGGGTGTGCCTGGTTTTAAGAAACCTGATTTGGGAAATCTCAATAACGCAGGCTAGTGGGGAGCCTGTGAGGGACTGAGAGTCCAAAGTAAACAACTATTAAAAAATATGTCTTAAAATATACAGGGAGCTTTAGACTAGGCCAGTACAGATTCTGAAAGGCCTTCCTTTAGTGCTCAGAATAATCAAATGGTGAATTGGTTTTATTTTAGCTAAATGATGTTTCTAACATATTTAAAAAATACTAAGCTACGTAATTAGTCAGACTCCTTAGTACATCTTTTTTGTTTCCCCCAAAGATTACAAAAATAAAGTTTAGCTAAATCTTTATAATTATGTTACAAAAGGACAATCCTCTGTGGGCTCTCCCAGTGCATTTAAATGCAACAGGGCATAACCTGGGTTGACACCCAGCCCAGAGGAGTGGAGAGGCGCCAAGAAATGGAGAGTGTAAGTTCTGGAGGCCAAAGCTCCCTGCAGAGCCATGAGCACCGGCACGAAAGGGCACCGACTCGCAGCTTCCCAGGGCGGGGTCCTACTTTGTGCCCTCTGAGCACACAGCACAGTGCTTGACAAAGAACACACCCTCTAGAAATACCTGCTGGCCGAATGAGTAAGTACATATAATGGGATGAAAGAAAGACCACCACAACGACATGGAATTCTCTCTGCCAAACTGTCACTGCAGAAAAGCGCACCCTTTCTAAAATGCATCGTCTCTTAAAAAGCCAGGCACAGCCGTACATCTGGCCCTTCCTAGTCCCAGATCCCCGAAGGACGGAGGACACAGAGACACTTACAGCCCCACAGTTGGGCATTTCACAGATGAAGGAGCCCGAGGGCTGGCTGAGGGCCTGCAGGGGTGGCCCCTCTGTGGGAGCCAGGACTGGGCCTGGCTGTGGCTCTGGGGACTTCGGTACTTCACTCTCTTCTTCTCTTGTGGATTTCCTATCTTCTTCCGGGTCCTCCTCCTCCTCCTCTAACTCTTCTTCTTCTTCACTCGTCTAGTGTCAAGGCAATAAAAGCAGAAAGGGGAAAGTCCCCAGATGGCAGTTTTAGTGATGAAAAGAACCTACAGGCCAGGATACGGTCTCTACTCAGTTGGTCATTGGATGCTTGAAATTTTGCGGTCAAGGAAGTCCCCCTGACCCACTTTGGGTCTCATTATTTATATAAAAATATTTCAAGGCAGGGAGGAGAGGTTTCTGTATGCAGAGTTTCTCCACCTTGTCTCCCCCAGTGTACCTTGAAACTGACTAAAACCCAGGCAGGCTGCCCCACTTGAGTCTGTCTCCCCAGGGCAATAATGAGGGCTTTCAAGCAATAACAATACAGTGGAACCCTTTAAAGAGAGACTATAGACCTATCATGATTCGTCTTATAGGCCTTATAACACATTTCCATGCGAGATGCCCAAGATGGTGATTTGGCCTGTGGAAAGTGCATGACACGTAGCGTTTTGATGCGCTCCTGCTCTGTTCTTGTCAGAAAAGAGAATCAGAGAGTTTGAAAAAGGGAGAAAATGGAAGGGGATATTCCCTTTTATTTATCATGTGCTTTTTTCCCACTCTGGTCTCTGATCATGGGCTTGGAGAAATGCCTTCCAGGGACATTCTATAAAAAACAAGAAAAATATTTTCTATGAATAATTATCCTCTATGCTACGGTGTCCTCTCGCTCTAGTTTAGAATTGCAACCAGGTGCAGAATTAAGCAGAAAGTTCCCGCCTTCCTCAAGGTTAACAAGATAGTTTAATGGAGTAGCTTGGAGTAGATATCCAGGGTGAATTGGGATAGAGGGCAGAGACCTAGGAGGCCCTCTTTCTACCTCTTGTTTAACTAACACCTTCCTCCGCTCTTTCTGTCTTCACTGGGGGAGAGGGGGAGATAGAGGTGGAGAGGGATGCTGGCTCCTCCAGGCCCAGAAAGGACTGAGTACTTCTATGTTACATCAACCTCATTTCGGCCTCTATTTTACAACATTTTACAGTTTATAAAGTGCTTTCAAATTTGCTTTGTCACTGAATAGGCTGTGAACAGTCCTCCCATTTTACAAATGAGGAAAAGAAAGGTATGCCCAGATGCCTCTAACCCCAAAGGGTCCTTTGTCTCTGCCAAGCTCTCACTGCACACCCACTGCTTAGAGCACATGGGCTCCAGCTCAGTTTACCCCAGACAGTGATGTAACTCTAGGTGAGCCTATGATTCTTAGAACCCAGAAGCAAGAATTTCCGGGAAGAATTATGATTTCTGAGAGTAGTGGTACCCTGGGATCTAGAACCACAAGCTGCTTCTCTCCAATCTAGGTTGGGGGAGGGGAAGAAAGGCAATGCCAGTAAATATGGGGCATGTAGCACCCTCCTCGCTGGTTCAGTAGTGTCTGTATTTAATACCATATCTGTATATTTGAGATGATGCAGAAACAGGGAGTATTTATGAAATGGCCCCAGTTTCCAGTGAGTTAATTAGGATTAATTAGTAATATTTACATTTGCTGAAAGACTTCAAGTGAATACAGATGTAGGCTTAATACATTTAGAGAGTGATTTATGATATAAGCTGTAGGTTTCTTATGAATATATTAACATACAGGTCAATTTCACTTAAATAGTCTTATTCCTATATAAATCCACCATCTTCCAATCTCAAAGAGTTTCAGTTAAAATCACGTTGTGTCTAACTCCAAGAATTCACTCCATTCCTTTATAGAACTGAAACTTTGTGGTCTCAGGTATCTCTGTATTAAGCAGACCAGGACCCATAGCCTGGCATTTAAAATAAACTACATAATAACTTTAAATGACAATGGCATTATTTCATGGTACTTGTTATAATTACAATTTTCTCACGATGCCATTTTTTTTTTTTTTTTTGGCTTAGAACTTTTAGAAGACATATTCCATATAGCCACAAAATTACAGATTCAATTATACTGTACTGTGATTATACATGGTTCAGGAATTTAGATGGGTTTGACTTCAACTGGCAATCTATACATGTTCACAAAATGATTTATCATCAAGCCACAAGGCTCCCCAAAGTGACTAAGAGATACAAAGATAGGAGGACAAAAACCCTAACATGTAGAACTTTGTATCAACAAGTTGGTCATTTTATGATATATTATAAAATGAAACATTTAGTAATATTCCAAAATCGGGCTAATACAGGGCACAGAGGTGGGTATATATTTAACATGGTGCTCAACGCTTTGAGCATTCACAGTAAAAGTTGTTTTTTCTTTTAAATTAAATTTATTAGGGTAATATTGGTTAACAGTATATAAATGTCAAGAGTTTCTTGAAATTTTTATTTCTCAGGCAAATGGAATTCATATTACGAGAAATTTATGAGTTAAAATGCAAATGTTAAACAACCCAAATTTACTTCAAGACACAAATTTGAGTGTTACGGTCACTAATGATGATGGTGATGACGACGTATCGACTGCCTGCTATGAGTCAGGCACCACACACATACATTTCTGGTTCTCACAGCAACCCTGCACAAATTTTCTTTTTTAAACAAATAAGGAAATTGGCCAGAGAACGAATATCCCAAGTTCACATGGCTGGTAAAGAAGTTGAACTGAGATTTACAACCTGGGCTGATTCCAAAACCTCCACCTTCTTCACTCTTTGGCCCTGCTGTGAATGTCCACGGTTGCACAACTGTCCATCTGGACATGGCTTAGGTTTTCAGCTCAAACACAGAGATCCTGAACCTCTCAGAACTATTGGAATCAGCTACCTTCACTTATTTTATTTAAAAAATTTGGCACAAGTTGCTTTTAAAGCTCAAAGGGAAGGAGAATGTTTCCCTGGTCAGTGATACCAGTAGGTACCTAAGGTGCTTAGACCATGGGTGAGCTTTGTCCTTGGAGTCCTAACCGCTGTCTTCCAAAGTCAGTTAACTGTGTGTCAGTTGGTTTTTTGAACTGTGCTAAATTTCGGTCATAGCCAGACCCACAGGTTTGTCCTGAGTGGAATCATGAGCACAGACGGACAGGGGACAAGAAGGTGTGGTCTGCATGCTTTCCTCCCACCTCCTTAACGGAGCCCACCCCGGCCCCCTTCTTCTGCCTGTAAGAGTGAAAGGGCCTGTGATGGCCTCGGGCCAGAAGTCAAAGTATCCTGAGTGAGCAGTTGTGCTCTGTTGACCTTTTGGCTCCCTGAAGGGCAGTCATTCCTCACAAACTCTCTTTCTATTCCCCTCTCTGCATAAAAGTCCCTAAGCTACCTGAGCATGTTCCATCTGGGGGAACGATCACCTGTCCCTTAAATAAAACACTGAGGATGCGTGATCAAGAGAGCTATCCAAGGTGTGCCAGGCAGGCTTGGAGGATGAAGAGCAGGACCTCTGTACTAGGACAGCACTTTCTATGCCCTCTCCAGTGCTTGCATAGCCCCAATTTTTCATTTTCATTTGGCAAGCTATCCTAAGGCGGCTAGCTGTGCCTTCACAGTGCCCCGGAGGGAGCTATGAGCTACTACGCTGGCCTTAAATCAAGGTTTTCTTGCTTTTGTGGGCCTGAATCATCTCTGCACATAACTTTTTGTTCTCCTTAAGCTCACAGGTCACAAAGGTGTGGATGGTCCTGACCCAGCCTAACACTGGCTCCGGGAGAATAAGTCCAAGAAGATATGGCCCCTCGGGCACTGTCCTAACCTCTCCTCCTCAGTCTGAAGCTACACACTGGCCTGGCCCTGTCTTCCCACCTTCAAAGCCCTGTTGGCCCAAGATGGTGCCTCTGTGTTATATGGTAACATCGTCCTTAGCAGCACCGAATCCCCTTGTTCACCCTGTCTCCCTCCAGTGAGTTTATAGCTATGAATTTCGGAAAAAAACGTTTACTCATTCATTCAACAAATATTTGTTGAGTGCCTCTATTATGCCAGACCCTGTCCCAGGTACTTGGTAACACCCAAGGCAAAGAGACACTAATTTGCCTCACTTAGGAAAACTTATCCTCTGATTTTCCCTCTTCTAAAACATGCTCTGGCAGAACCCAAAACAATGTAGAATTGGAAGGGACTTTACAAATCATCTGAGTCATTTGCCCCACTTTACAGGCCAGCAAGCCTAGGGGCCAGGTCCTAGGCCTCCAAAGCCTGGATTCTTTGTGCTTTCTTGTTTACTCTCTATTCTCATTTGGAAAGCAGTGCTCTGTGTGACCTGGGGCAATCCCTTTCTCCTCTCAAGGTCTCAACCTTCTGCCTGTGAAACAGTGGAATTGGATGAGAGAGAGAGCCTAAGGCCATATCTAAGACTTTTGGGTTCTCCTCTTATACTGCTCTTAAACACGCTTAGAGTTCATGGTCAACCTTCCACTTGCGTATGTCACATCTTCCAACTAGAATATATGCTCCCCTCGAGGTGGGTGAGGAGGAGGAGCAGAGGCATTTAACATCCCCGGTTCACCCACTGTGCTGTTTACACTGTGGAAACTCAAATGGTTTCAGGTGATTGAACCAGATGAGGCCACATGGCTTTTTTAAATGTTAAACCACAGATGAGCAAAAGGTTATTCTGATATAAGATATCACTACTTAAATCATTCAAACAAAAGCCCTGGACACAGGAAACCCTTAATATAAAATATTGCCTTCTCTGATCAAAAGAATGGCAATTCTATTCTTTTCCACAGGCATCTATTTTCTCTGATATTTGAGTCCAAATGTAAATTTATATATGTGTGCATATTTCCTCGAGAGGCTCAATTCTTAGTTAAGAACTCGGGCTTTAAAGCCTTAAAGCATGAGTCCAAGTGTTTTTACACTTCTTTAAGAGAATTTTCATTTGACTTCTCTTAAGTATTATACAAGGGAACTGGGCTCAGACAACACATTCACCAGCCATTGACCATGGCTAAGTTACTCTGTGCCTCAGTTTCCTACCTCACAGAATCGGTATGTGGATTAAATGAGTCAATATTTGTAAAGTGCTTAGCACAATGCCTGGCACATAGAAAGTGCTATGTAAGTATCTGTTCAAGAAAATAACCCTCATGTGTGCTAACGCTTATACTGGGACACTATTGGGAATGAGAGTATAATTACAAATATTCACACCATTCATGAATTCCAAATATGTTCCCTGATGATGACAGAGGCTGGCGTTTAGTAATTTGCTATAAGACATGTAACTTTCACATGCACATACATAGTAGGTAATGTTTGCCAAAGCGGGTGAGAAGGAGACGTCCCCTGGCTATGGACGCAGAGAGGAAAGCTGGTCACAAGGATAAATGTGGTATTAATTACCGAAGTCACACATGAGGGTCTCAGAGATGATTTCGATCTTGTTATGTCTTTAGTATGTACTTAATCTTAATGTCCAGACAGCTTTGTCTGCTAATGAAGGAAATCAATATCAGGGATAAATGGCGATGTGAGGATTAGAATGATTATACACTGCTAACCAGTTCCTCAAAAATCAAGCGTTCCTGGCACCATTTAGGAGCCAAAGTTCCTCCCTGCTCATGCTTTAAGGAAGCTGTGGTAGAAGCCGAGGGCTCCATCTTTCGGAGGCCCATTATGTTCACTGGTCGGTGGAATCTGTGATGTGAGAGGATCAGGAAAGGTCACACCAGGGGTTCAGGGCACCTGCTAATAAACCAACCACCCAAAGCTGGGACCACCCTACTCAACTCCCTAGTTCCTACCTCATCTACTTAACTGAATGCTGAGCCACAGGTCAAATCCAAAGTTGCCTTCTCTCCCTCTGCCTCTCCACACCAGCAAGTCGAGGCCTGAATCCCGCCAGGGAGCGGGCTTGTCACCCACTTTCTGCGGCCACCTCGGCAGCAAAGTCAAACCAAACACCAGCCACTTACTAACCTGGGTGTGGGGTGGGAGTGGGGCCAGTATATGTGACAACTCAGCGGCTTCACTCACCACACAATCGTCGATGGTTTCTGTGAGGCGTGTCCGGTGCTTCCGCCCTAACCGCGTGATTTTTTTCCATGTGTAGTAGTACTCCACACACTGAGCCACTGTCTTAGACTTCACCTGCCGGGAAAGCCAGCTCAAGGTCAGCTCCAGCAGCAGGCAGTGCACAAGGCAGCAAGTTTTGGTGAAAATTGTAACAGGTAATAGGTTTATGCAGTTCAATTAAAAAAAATATATATATATCTATAGTGAAAAATCTCCTTCTCACATCTATCCAGGTCTCACTCCCCAACCCTGCAACACAGCTGGCCCCTTGGATTAATTTTTTGGATACCATTCCAGAATTTCTTTATGCTTATACTAATAAACACAAAAATATTTTCTGCACACACCATTTCCTCACAAAAAGTAGCATATATATGTACTGTTTTGCAACTTGATTTTTTCACAATATAACTCAGAGATTTTTTCATGTCAGTCCATTGAGAGTTCATTCCTTTTTTTAACCCTTAAAGCAGCATGCTTTTTCATTAAACATGCTTGAATGTGTTCGGTTCTCTGGCTTACTGACCTTCAAAATCTATTTATTACAAAAATGTTCCTTAGTAATCGAACAGGAACATAAGTCAAAAGTTATAATGACAAGATCTCAGTTTTTACAGGAAACAAGCCTTGCTCTGTTTTTCCCCAAAGGGAAAAAGGTAAATGTATTTTAGAGAGAAAAAATTCTTTGTTTAGCTCATATATGTCTAAGCTCAAAGTGGGGTTCAATAATGTGGGTTTTCTGGAGGCAGGTAAAAGGCTGGTGGTACCTGGGGGGTGGGACACAGCCAATTGCATGGTGAGATGAGAAAGGCACTACTAGAGGTCCTGTCTCCCCAAAGTTGTCCCCTTCACATCTACCTGATATCTTGAATTTCTATACTAGAATCACCCGGGGAGTGAGGATAATGTCCCAGAGAGCCTTTGCTTTAAAAACCTACATTGCCTGGCAAGTATGACACACAAATCTATCATCAGTTAGCAAGGTGTGAGGCCTTCAAGGAATAAGGCCTAGGACAGGTCAGTCCTGGGGAAGGTAACTCAAGAACTATCAGAATGTAGGAGCTGCTGGGCAAAGAATGTGGTGGCCTCTAAGGCAGGGAAAGGCAGGAGTGAATGTAGATTGAAGATGAAGAACTGGAGAAAAAGTCCACCTGTTCTGATTCTCATTCGTCAAGGCCTTAGATTAAGGTCAGGAGACATGTACCCTGGACACCACTGGGGGCATCGGCCCAAGCTGGAGCCAGTGGAAGCTGTCACTTGTGACCCTGTTCTCTGTGGACCTGGATATCTTAATGACTTTAATAATACAATATAGCTCCATCATTCATCGGTCTGCTGAAACACTCTTTGAATTATTTTAACTTTTAGCCCAAACCACCTCTCAGCCAATTAAGGCCTCCCAGGTTTATCATCTGCTCTATATAAAGTGCTATTTCGTCTATGTGAAAGAGTTCTATTTTGCTGTGAAATGTTGTATATGTAAAGTATTATTTTTATTATTACTGTCTTTATGATTAGGGGCCCAACACCAGAAACTCTACTACTGGCTAGGGGAAGGGTACTTATCCTCCCATCTCTAATTTCCCAGAAAAAAAATTCTGTCAAGAACATGATAGATCTGTCAAATATACATGAAACAAATTATGTAAATTGTGTACCAGAAGCCCCAGCTCTATTTATGCTGATAGAATGTATAAGGTACACATTTTTATTAAGATAAAAATAACCCCACATTATTGCCACATCCAAATATTTTATGTCTTCCTTTCTCTCACAGTCCCAATACCAGGGCCATGCTACCCCATAACAAATGCCACCTTTCATCAGTGAGGAGTGGAAGCCATCCTTTTTGTGAGAGCATTACACCAGTAATCAAATATATCTATATATATCTTTAAGTGTACAATTTCCCAAATTCAGTTTTAAGAGAGCAATGGGAGGAAGTATGCTTACCATCTTCTGTACAAAAATAAAGTCTTTGCTGTAAGTGGCTAGTGCTTTATTAAACAGTTTTCTTTCTAGGGAGGTCCACTTGTCCGAACCTACAACAAAACACAAACTTCATAAGAACAGCTCACAGTTTGCCCCACTTTGTTCGTTCCAAATTCATAGGTCGTCTCACTTTAGTGGCTGGTTTACTTAGTTAAGTTACAAAATAAAACTGTTCAGCAAATGATATAATACTCATCAAGCTCCTTTTTGAACAAAAGCCAGTGTAGTATAATGGTTAGCAGGCCCGACACCTGGGTTCAAATCTCAGCTATGGCCTTGACCTTGGCACATTACTGGACCTAAGACTCAGTTTTGTTACCTACAAATGGGAATAATTCTAATTGTCCTCACCTCTTAGGATTTTTGCAAAGGTTAAAGATAATGCACAAAGTGTCTAGCTTAGAGACTGGGAAACAGTGAGTGTTCACCAAATTTTAGCTACAGTTCTTATGTAATTATGATGTTCATGAGTGCAAGTGTTCATGTAGCAAGCACTCTTCAAGATGAGGTAGATTCAGGAGTCTCCACCCTCAAGATGTTCACAGTCTAATGGACAGACAAACCAGTAGGCCACTGCATAAAAGGTGATGACTGCAATGATGAAAGTAGAGGTCAGGTGCCAATGGGACACAAAGGAGGAACACCACACTCAGGTTAGGGCCAGGGCAGCTGGGAAGGCTTCTGGGCAGAGAAAACATCTGAGTTGAGTTTTCAAGGACACAAAAGCCAGTCAGGCAAGAAGGAGATGGAAGGGAATTCTGGGGAGAGGAGGTGTGTGTGCAAAGTCAGAGGCAAGCAGTGAGAGGATGCATTTAATTCATTCATTCAACAGGTATTTGGTGTGTACTACATGCAAGACACTGTGCTGGGAAAAGAAAAAAGCTAACATTTATAAGTGTTATAAGTGCTTACTAGGTGCCAAGTTCTAAGTACTTCACAGATATTAGTCATTTGGTTCTACCAACAACTCTGTAAGATTGGTATTACTGTTACCCATTTTACGGTTGAGAAAATGTAGGTGTTTAAGGAATGAGCAAGGATCCAAAACAGTTCAACCACAGGGTTCTAGCAGAGGGAGAGCAAAGTTTGCCTGGAGAGGTGAGTGGGACCAGTTGCTGACAGACCTGCAGACGAATGAAAAGGAGGCCCTACAGAGCTGGGCTGGTGCTTCTGTCTTGCTGGCTAAACTTGATATTCATCTTCTTCCTCCATAAAAGAGAGCAGGATAGGCAGGCAGATGGTCATAGAGAAAGGTACTGGGCTGTTTGGAGCAAGAAATAAGACCTATTTCTAAGGGTAATCCTGCTTCTGGGGGCTTCGGGGAAGACTCAATCACTGTGGCTGGTTTGCATAAAAGTCAGCCTCGTGCTTCTGGTTTTTTGAATTCTCATCTCTGGTTCATTAGATGGCATACGGCTGGAACTCTGACATGCTATCACTTCTGAGAGCTATAACCCCCCAAACCACAGTATTTCCCCCTTCAACCAGGAAAAGCCAAAGGTTTGCACTTTGCCATAGTTGATTGATGGGGCCAAAGTACAGGAAAACTAAATTGGTTCTTCCCTTGAAGTTTCAGCCAAAATTAGTGAATCAGGTGAAACCACTCCAGACAGACAGGAAGTCCTCCAGAGTTTGAGGGCAGCTCTCTAAGACCTGGTGAGATGCGAAGAGGGCCATGCAGCTGTTGCAGGCCAGCACCCAGTCTCTATGGTGGGCATACTTTCTTCCACCCGATCCTAGGTTCATCACCTGATTACTGCCCCCCAGGCCTGCCTACTTGTGAGAAGCATGTCTCTTTGTATCCCCAAATGGCTTGCCAGTTGCAACCCTATATAAGGTGAAGTAACTTCTTGGACCATCTGTTGTGGGGGATTCCCAAGCTTCATGGGGGAAGCAGATCTTCCCCCCGACTTCTCGGTGGATTTTAGGGCTGCTGCTCTGCGATGGGATCTTTAGTTTTCCTGATTCCAGAGTGTTCATTCTGCACCACCAGTCCTGGATTCGAAGTGGGCTGCACTCTCTCACTTTCCTCTGTGTCACCCTCCCACTCTCAGGGCTGTAGCCGCTGGGGCAGGGAGCACGTGTTCAGACAATAAGTGTTGGCTCCTCTTAGTAGTCCTAGGGTCCATACTTTAGTGCAAATGATAGCGCTGTGGGCATGTGTCTGTCAAACAAAGGCATCCATGAATCAAGAGGCAGAGGCATGGCCAGATGAGCAAATCCCTTCTCAAGCGCTCACTAGAGTGGACCCTGTCTTCGCTGCACCCTGATCATGAGATTCCTATTGGGCTGAGAATCCATCCCAAGGCTCCTGGACTGAGTCCCCAAGTCCCCAGATTAAAACCTGGTATATAGAAATAACACCTGAATAACACCCAAATAATGTCACTGTGCTGTGATTTAAAAAAAAAAAAAAAGTGACTTTCATCAGACCATAGGCTAGAAATCTGGTTCTGCCATTTATACCTTCTGTGGCCCCAGGCAAGTTTACTTAACTTCTCTGAATATCAGTTTCCTCTCCTGTGATGAAGGGATCAGGACAGTGACTCTATGACTGACAGCATTTAGTCCTAAGTGAATGCACAGTAAATGTTTTAGATCTTAACTGGCCGCTTGGAGAGATTTCAAATCAGCCTGAAGCTATGGGACACACGGTGTCCCCTCCTGAGCTATGCATTAGTGGCACTCAGGAAGACCACCAGGCCTTGCCTGCTTTGTGTACGCATAAACCCACAGCCTTACTCCTGGCTGATCATAACTTCTATCTTCTACTTCCTGGCCCTGAAATCCTTCTGTAATAGTCAGGGAAAGGCTCAGGCATCCCCCATCCCTGTAGTCTGTCCGACAGCAGCACTTTCCTCATTCTTAGACAAGGTTTTCTAAGCCAGCCCTTCTTAGATTGTGCGTCTTGGACAAAGTCCAGGATAAAATGAAAAACCAAGGCGGGGGGCTGCCTCGAATCCTCCCGTCGCCTTCCTCTCTAAGATCCCTGCTGTCCAGTCAGCATGCACACAGAGCCAGTGGGCTGACACTCCCCCAGCACTCATTTGTTCTACCTGGGGATTCCTGGCTATCGGGCTATAATCAGCAGGGGCCCCTAACAAGATGATTAAGGCTAATTACAAAGAGCCTAATTAGTTGGAGGAAACTGGTGCAACAGTATCCAGAGGAAAATGTTCTCAGCATCCGTTGCTGGGAAACAGGCTCTGAACCGTGGCTAAATTTGGGGCAATCTATAGCAGACCGAGGCAACTGAAGAGACATGGAGGGGTGACAGAAGTTTGGGCATGGCATCTTTTAAAGAGGGCCTTTCTCTCTTCTTTTCAAGATATTTAAAACTTTTATTGATGCTGTTGTTATTGCAGTTATACAAGAAAGACATGTTCAATGTAGGAGGACTACAAAAGGACTGTTTTTATACTAGATCTTCATTTCTGTGAAAGGTTCTCCATAGTGGGTGAAGGCTGAATAAATTTTTTTAGGGATGCAGGGTAAGGCAGGCTGCTATTAAAGTTCCCTCCAGAAGCACAAGGAAGGAAGGCCTTGATCTGAATCCAGAATTCGAGCTTGTCCATTAACTGTTCTTTACAAGTGCTGTGGCAGGTAAAGCAAGTGAGTAAGTGTTAATTCAGTTCCTGCCCTTCGGGGAACCACTCTCTAGCTAGAAACATGGGCTAAGAATGCCTGCAAAATGACATGGTGGTTGTGTTTCTTACAAAGTACTTTCCTGAGTATGTAATCCTAACTCCTCATCAAATTGGGGCAGCTTCCAAGACAAGAGAGCAGGCTTCTCCCAACTGAATGGGTGTTAATTTCCTCCAGGTCTTCCCCATCTCCAGAGTGTGAGGTCAGGCTTTAGGACCCAGTGAGCATTTGGACGGTGGTGGGAGCCAATAGTAGCTTCTGTTGAACCCCTGCCAGAAAACCCAGGGCCAGTTCTGACACGCCCTCTACTCTGCGCCCATCTGCAGGGACGGCCAGTTCAATGGAAAACCAAAGATGCTACAAACCCTCTAATCACAACCAGGCATCCTCCTAACCCTGACTACCCATGCACAAGGCCTCCCTACTCAATCCAACTGCCAACTGGGAGTCATTGCAAACAACTGCTACCTGCACCTGGGTGGAGGGCGCTGAGAGAGGATTGGACCGAGCACCTTGGTGTGGATTAAAGAGCACTGGGACTCACTGCAATAGCACAATTCTCCGAGAATCTCAACATGGCCTCTTTGGCCTGGGCGGCAGCCCCCGGACCTGGGCGAGCTGTCCACCCACACCAGTCTCTCTTGGGCCCCTATGTCAGTTACTTTTTCTTTTTCTTATCGAATTGCTTGGGATGGGGCGGGAAAGGGAAGGTCATGAGTAAAGTAAGGAAAGTGATTTCCACAGGCTTGTGTCTCTCTCTCTCCCTCAAACTTGCAGCCTTCCTCCCTGAACCCATTCTTTCCACCTTCCCTCCAGGGCACAGACAAACCCTAAAGATGTGACCTCTCTTTGGACAACTGGGAGCCTGGAGTGCGATTCCAGGGCCAGAAGTCAGAGCTGGGAGTCGGGGTGGGGTGACACTGGTCATAGCCACAGAGCCAGAGGCCAAATGACGACATCCAGAAGAGAGTGTCCCGGTGAGGAACTGAGCTGACAGACAGTTCTACTAGAGAGCAGCCCAATGGGGCTTGGCACAAAGGCCAAGGCAGGATAGGGAGACAGGCATGGGATTAATCAACACCCTAGAACCAAATAAGAAACATGAGGTGGGGCAAGGAAGTCCTGGCTGGTAGCTAGAGCATGTGATGTGGGTAGACTCTGTGGCTTCCCCTATGGCTTGGAAGGAAAATGTTAACGGGACAGAATCAGGTCAGACTTTGGAGATCAGTGACCTCTGCCCTTTTTGCTCATAATTCTAGAAGATTCTCTGGGGCCGGTCTGTGATTATTTCCTGGAGAAGGAAAGTGACTGATATAGGCGAGTACTCATTTCTTGGGGACACACAGCCGGCAAGATGCCAACCCTTCACACTGCAGCCCCACTTCTCTTGCCTCCAAGAGTTGAAATGATTCCAGGAAGCAACCAAGTTCTTCCTGGTCTGCCTGCTGGGGGAGGGGATGAGCAAAGGATTAGCTAGGAACCCCTAATCCCAACAGATCAATAAATTTTAGTAGACTTAAAGGCCCTCTAATTTCAAAGTTCCTGGAATTACTTTAGTGTCTTTTGGGCAGGAGTGGCTTCTAGTCTTTAGCTTTCTAACCTTTCTTATGTCATGTCACACACAAAAAATAATATGATTTACTTGGCAGACTGGGAAGAATTGGCAGACTGGGAAGAAGTGGAGGGCATTAGGGTCCCAGATGAGGTTGCTCACAACTAGAGCTGATCACCCCAGGTACCCTGAGGGCCAAGGGCAGCCGCATCTCACAGCAGATGATTTGGAAGCTCCTTCTCATCACCCAACTGTCTCACTCACTGTGCTTGAGACAGGCTCTAGGAGGCTGGACAGCTGGTCAGGGTTTAATGGACAGCAGATGACGCTCAGGATTAGGAGAGGATTGAACTATTTCCATGGCAGATTAGGGAGAAAACTCTCACATTTTTCTACCCACACTTGGAGCAGACACCAAGCAGGAAATGATGGAGACTATATTACGAAACCACTCCTTTAGGCCACTGGTTAAATGACAGATTTCTTATCCCTTGTGTCCATTTAGTGCTTGCCTAATTCCAGCAGTAGCCTATGCACTGAGAGTGATCTACAGGCAGATATCCTGGGCTTGCTGTGCTCAGACGAGTGGCTTCTGAGGCTTTTCCCCCTGTGGTAACAGGCAGGAAGGTCAACTCATAAGAGAAACACATTAAGTGAGGCAAACAGTGGTGGGGACAGACTGCCCATTGAAAATGCTCCAGTATTTGTAAAGAAGCCCTCGCCTTAGGCCTATCTGGCCACCTGGACCAAGCAAGGACCAGAAAAAGTATTACCAGGTCCCCAAACCCACTAAAGCATTTAGTACCTACCAATACGGGGTCTGCCCAAGGCACCAAGGAAACCTGAAAATAACTAAAAATCAAGGGGCACTAGAGGACTCAGCCCCCTCTAAAAGAGAAAACCTAGGCAGGTTTGTGGAGACCCTCCAAATGGATGGGTTTACCAATTAACGGAAATAAAAATGCGGACTATACAAATTTCATTTGTCATCTCTTAGGCTCCCCAACCTGCTCCTTCTCTTTCATGATTCTTATTCAACTCTTGAAGGTGTTTTCTCCCTCCCTCTTACTCGTGATGCCATCGTTAATCCACACTCTCGAAAGACAAACTCACATGCAGATGAAGATGTGTATGTACATGTACCACTTCTGCTATCAGAATGATCTGCTGCTTAACAATCAACAGGCTTCCCCCTCAGACTCCATCCTGCACAAGGTGGAACTGTCTGGCCATGTCTGTCATAGTCACTGTTTCATCTTAGTGCTTAAGACAGTCCCTTCTATACAGTAGTGCTCAGTACATAACTGTTTGATAAATGAATAATAATGACAGTCTCTAGGACGTGCCAGGCATTGGCCTACATATACTATCTCTAATCTTCACTGCAAGGGATGGAGTATGAGTCCCATTTTACAGGTGAGGAAACAAAGGCTGTAGAAGGCCAAGGGGTGCAGGCAAGAGTTGAACCCATGTCTACTGATTCTAAAGCTGAGGGGCTGCTGCTAAGTGTTGTTGCCTCTGTGCTATACGCGCTGTGGCTCTCTTCCCCAGTGCACCAGTCTCACTGCCATCCGTGCAGGCACTGTCCATGACTGCCTAACTCTTGGCACACCCATGAGGGGCAGGAGCCTATACAGATAAATGCCCAATAGTACCCAGTCAACAGACACAAATGCCCCATCAGCTACACCCCAGAAGGCCTTGAGATCTCAAGTGGTAATTAGGACAGAATCAGTGCTATCTATTATTAAAAAGTGACACAACCAAACATGCAAACAGCCTGCTCCCAGGAAACAATAGGGCACAGGGCTCCTGGCAACCTACCGGCATAGTGGTAATTTGCTAAAGGATGACATTTTAACCGGACGGGCTTCCGCAGCAGCAGCATTTCCAGAGCAGCCTGCAGACCCATGGGAGAGAAAAGGCGACAGTCAGTAATGGGTCTGTGTTTCCAGGGGAAACCATCTAACAGGGAAAAGGGGTTGGCACTGCAGAGCTTGGGGCTTGGGGCGCTGGGAGGAAAACCAGAAGGAGATTGCCCTAATCGGGGTTCCCTCTGGTCAGCACCCAACAGCTCCCCCAGCCCATGCCTGTAGCTAGCTGGTCATGTCGGAGACCCCACTCCTTCCTTGGTGAGGGCCCCAGCCCCAAGGAGCTGGTGAGGCCTCCTCTGAATGTTGGCTGAGTCTCTCGGGAAGGACTGAGGAAATGAGTGGGTGATTTGTAACTGTTTTTGCAGAAAAATCACATGTTTCATTACAATTGAACACAAACAGCTGTATTAGTGATGACTGTACATGACTGTACTAGACACTGTCCTCACGGAGAGCCTAGCTAAATAAACCCTTTCAAATCTGTCTCGTTTAGCCTTGTTGACTTTAAAAAAAAAAAAAATGCTGCAGCTGGAGTTGAGCAGTAGATGGTTTAGCGGCAGAGCAAGGTCTAGAATCTTGCTATTCCAAGTGTGGGCCACTGGCCAGTGGCACGGGCATCGCCAGGAGCATGTTTTAAAGGCAAAACCTTGGGCCCCACCCCAGAACTGCTGAACTAGAACCCGCATTTTAATAAAATTCCCTGGGTGATTCATGTGCATGTTAAAAGTTTGAGAAATGCTGCCCTGCAACACCAATCTCAAAGGGTTAAGGAGAGTTCTCCAACATTCTAGAAAATACCTGAAGGGCATCAATAATCTCATGGGTAGGTAGTACTGGGACACTGGCTGACATTCACGTTTTCATATAATCAAAAAGCAGGAAGCTAGATCTGGTACAAGATGTGTTTACTAAAGGGGAAAATGAGGTTCGTGCTTGAGTGATCTCACTGAGAGTCCAGGTTGAGCAGGCAAGTGGTCAGCTCTGATTCTGGGAAGATGGCACCAAAGTTTTGGTTTGACCAAAGAACTGTGTCAAATGTGGGAGAACGAAACAAACTCTTCATTTTGGTTAAGGGATAAAATGACTTTATGGATATCAACTTTGGCTGATTTCCACAGTAGCGAAGGACAATCAGCAGAGTATGAAAGGCTATTTTAGGCCATCTACCTCTAGCACTGGAGACGTTTTATGATACAAGAGTGCTGAAACGTAATGCTAATTTCCCAAGACCAAGGTGCCATTAATTATTATTCAGATGCGTAAACAGAAGTCCCACTGGAGGTTTTCCCGCAGGTTTTAAAATCTTGACCTACTCACTGAGAGATGGAATACGGAGGCATGTTGACTAGTCATCATATTAATTGGTTGTATGGCAGCTGGGACAACAAAGAAATGGGGAAATAGTTTTCGGAATTCTGACACAAAGACTATGAACTGTGAAGCCAACTTTTCATGGTTCCTTACCATCACATCACCTTTGGCCTCAAAGAGAGAGTGCAAAGCAAATTCAGAATTGGTCCCTCCACCTGGCAATGCACTTGAACAGCACAAATTCAGGAGATTCTCCACTGTTGGGAACAATAAGAGGTCACTGCATCAGGGAAAGCTCAGTATCATGGAAAAACACACAGATCCTGGAGCCAGAGATCTCTGTGAGAGAAAAAAGCCTTTCCCGCCCACTTCTTCCCACATGCCAATACCTCTTTGCTGGAGGTCATGGTTTTCCAACTCTGGCCAGGGCTTCCAGACTAATGTGGCCTTGTGTGTGTCCTGGGCCAGGGCAGAGACATCCTGGAGTTCTGGGATCTCTGCTTGGAATCTTAAGCCAATGTTGATACGTCTTTAATGACAAAAAGAACAACAACAGTGTGGTCTTAAACTGGAGGCCAAGGGCAACTGTCAAGAACTTGAAAAAGAAGGAAACCAGTTCCTTCTGCAAGAAGAATGCAGGGGCACTTCCTCACAGTGTGATCCTAAGATTCCAGGCATAGCCTTTCCACTGGGATAAGGAACAGCTTTTACACTAGGGAGAGATGCTATGGGAGGAAGGGAGAGGTCAGCCTGGGGCTTCACAGCTCTAGAACTGAGAGGGAGGGTGCTAATTGTAAGGGAACAGCTGCCCAGAGCATAGCTATGATAACATCTAAACAAGAAAAATGAGACAAATACAAAGTGCTTATTTCATTTTTTATACCTTTCACACCACTTTCACATAAACTAGCCCATCTGAACCTCACAAAGACCTGTGATATCATCAAGGCAATGACAATTATTCCCATTTAAAAGATGAGTTAACTAAAGCCCAAAAGGTTAATTTGATTAAGACCAAATAACAAAATGGTGCACTCAGGTTTTCTGATTCCTGACTCAATACTTACCACTTTCCCACAGGGTCTCTTTTCTGTGCTTACCCATGAAAATAACCACCTTTCTTTCTCTTCCATTTTACCCTTCACCACCCATCCACTACTCAACAAGTCCATTTGGAGCACTGGCCCAGTATCTTAGGGAGGGGATGGGGGAAGCAAGGACATTTAGAAGAAGCCTCATAGGGAGCTGGGCACTCTGAGAGATGACTCAATGTCACTGGGGGTGTGAAAGCACATGGCCACAACCCAAATGGCCCATGGAGCTGGAAATGGGGATGCTAGGTTCTCTGAACACTGGGCTTCATGCTTTACTAGTCAGTCTTCAGCAAAGGCCTTGAAACACTAGCAATTACAAGGAAACAATGGTACTCAAGAAATACCACCATCCTACAATTTCTACAACTGCTCCCTGAGTGGCCACTCTGACCCAGAAATACTAACTCTACTTCTCAAAGCTCCTCAAAGGCTTCTGTTCTAAAGAATAATTGGTTTTTCCTTACGGTTCAACATCAACGGTCTGCTCTCCAGGCCCAGGGGTGACTGTCACATTGCTGCCATCGATGCTATCTGAAGCGCAAAAACCAGAGGTCACTGGTCAACAGGGAAAGGGTACTGAAGAAACTAGAGCAAATGAGCAGTTACTTACCCAGTCATAATGGGGACCTGTCCTCCCAACCCACACCAGTTATTCTCAACTGTCCCCAAGGAGGCAGGATTATCCATTTTTCTCCTCAGGGTAAGGAGAAGACAGCTGCCCACTCTGGTCTGCCAAGCTATATTATTTCTATGAAACTATTCTTGTTCTAGAAAGATCCTGGCTACAGGCCTCTCCACCCTTGATCTTTGCAGAGCATGCTGAAATGTGGAGGCCTGGTCTTGCACACCATACATAGTCCTATGTGGATGCCTACTTGGCATATTTATTTTGGGTCTCTTATAAGATTATCCACAGCACAATCTTACTTAGTGTATGCACATTTCAACTGCTTCCTTATCGCAGAGACTGTACTTACAGCTTTTGGTGTCTTCCCAGCTAGACTATGATTCCCTGAGGATAAATGTAATACACTTAATACTAAGTATTTCTAGCACCTAGCACAGTGCCTGGTACATAAGAGTAGAAACGCTACCAAAGTTGATGGCATGAGATAACTAAAGAAAAGTGAGACCACCCAGGGCGGTGGGTGCCCAGCACAGACAAGGCTGAAATCCCCAGGGTCCCTGAGGAGAAGCATGGGGCGACTCACTGGAGCGACACAGCAGCACACGGGGCGTGGGCGTCAGGGGCGTGAGGGGCAGCTGCGGGTGGGCGCCCGGGCCGTGCCCCGAGATGAGGACATTGCTGAAAAGCCCAGAGCCCTGGCGCACCGGGCTCAGCATGGGCGGAGGCGTATAGGGCGGCAGCTCGTGGGCGGGGTCCAGGAGCAGGTGGTCCCCCAGGACACGCGGGGAGCGCAGCTGACTCTGGTACAAGGTGGCGCCAGAGTAGGAGTTGGCGGGATTGGGGTTGTAGGACGGCGGTGGCGGAATGAAGAGCGGCTCAGGCCGGTGCCGGAACTTTTTCTTCTCAGGTGCAGTCTTGAGAGGCTCCTCAGCTTTGGCGATGGCAGGCTGATGCTTCCTGGGGATTTCCTAAAACCGGGAAAATGATCCGATTCAAATACTTATGCTTTCCCCACAGACCTACCTCACATGCTGAGGGAAGGACAACTTTTATTCTGATGGGGACCTTCTTCCACTTGTCCGACCCCAGTATCCTGTGTCTTAAAAAACAGCTACATCCATTTTCAGACAAGGCGAGTTCTGGTGTCTTGACTAGGAGAAAACTTTGGTTTTGGAGGAAATCCCTAATGTCTGGGGTGGTAGGAATAGTGGGTGGGCAAGAGGGAATAAATTCACATTTTCTATTGCTCATCACTGCATTCCCATCTGGTGTGTGGAAGCCAGCTGAGTGGGCCCTTTAATTCCCCATTGCTCTCTGGGGACAGATATCAGGGACAGATAACACATGCTCTGAAAAGGGGACAGAATAATCGATTCAGGGAAGCTGGGTAGGGGCCATGGGGCAGGAAGACGGGGTCAGGCCTAGCCAAAGCTCCCAGGGGCAGTGATCCCCACTGAGCATTCCTTTGAGGTAACTTTTGGGCTGAGGGAGAGCCATCTATGGTCTTGAAGGCCCACTTCATGTGCTCTCCTAAGACTGGATTTGGTTAACCTTCCCCCTCACCACCCCTCATTACTGCTCCTAGCATTGGTGGCTCATATATAGAAACCCCTTTTCCTACACTGGCTTCCTGTCAGCAGGGTTAGTTTATTTTACGGCAGCGGAACCAAGCATAGTCTGGGAAGAAGATCTGCCACACGGATACATATATAGTAATAAGTAAACATATGCACGTAAATAGATAAGCAGGGCATGCCAAAGCCAAACAAACAGACTTGGGTTGTGTGCCAGCATCAGCCCAGAAAAACCAAGAGCTGAATGTGGCTGGAGAGGCAGCTGCGAAGTTGGGAGAGACCATGGAGATACCTGCAGAAAGGTTCTGGGCAGTCTGTGGTACCCTCCCAGGCCCTGCAGGCCAGTGCGTGTCACAGCTGCAGTCCCTGGCAATTCCTGAGCCCAGAGTGGCGCCTGACTAGAAGGCAGCAGGGGTTGATGGGAAGGGCTGTCCATGGTCATGTGACTAACTGCCTCCAGGTCATGTGACCTGCCCCATTCGCCCTCAGTTCTGGGCTCCTGGCTTTCTGGGCCCCTGCTGCTGCCTTCAGCACTTCAGGCTGCTCCCTCCTGTTTCTCCCTGAGCGTAATTGTCTTCTGGATGCTGCTACAGTCCCCAGGAGGAGAGTCTAGTGAAGCAGGAAGGTGGAGAAAGGAGGAGGGGCAGAGAGGGCCCCTAGGCTCCCCGCTCACCCCCGGGGGTCTCCCCATAGGCCAGAGAGCCCCACTAGGCCTCCTCTCCCCAGCAGAGGGTTCTTCTTTGCCTGAGGCTAAGGCAGAGAGAGGGGACTGAGGAGAATGGAGACAGGATGACTGTGCCCCCAGCTGGGGGAGCAATCCTTAAACTTTACAGCCCGTTCCTGGGTAACTGATGAGGTCATTTGAACATGTGCAGACCTCACGTGACTTCAACTCTGATCTGGAATCCACACCTTTTGGGTTCCTCTATTGAGCCTCTGGTCCTTTACTCTAGCTCTAAACCAGATTTTCTGATCCTCCAGGCAAGGCTCTGAGACTCTGGGCAAGGAAGCCACCCAGAATGTCAGACCTCACTCAATGTCACTTGAGAGGAAGCATTTACAGTGTTCCATCCCACCAAGATATTCAGACTGGAGGTAGGGCCAAGCACTGAGAAGTTTTAAAAGTTCCTCAGTGAGTCCAACCCCTGAAGGTCTGGGGAGAATCTGAGGATCTGAGAGGGGAGGGTCTCAGCTGCCTGTGTTCTAGCTGGCTAGAAACAGAGTTGGAAAGAGAACTCAGGGCTCCTCCCTGAGCATTTTAATTTCTTTATATTGAATGTCAGGATCTTGCTCACATTTACTCAGTCCCACTTACATGCTTCCACTTCAACTTATCTCCCCACTTATGATGTCTCTCTCACCCTTTCCACAAAGCCAAGTTCATCTCTGCCTTCAAAACCCTGCTCAGAACTCCCCTCAAGATGATCTTCTGAGCAAACTCATATCAAACTCTCTTGCCTCTTCCCAGCTAATTACTCTAGCTACTCAGGTGCATTCCTCTCCAGCCACATCCAGGGCTGCCCTGGCCTTAATCTTACTGTCTTGAACTGGGGTGGAGGATGCTGCCTGGGGCTCTGCCTGTATGACTAGGAAGCTTACTGTCTCCAGCTTCCAGCTGAGAATTTTCCAAGGGTAGAAACAGTGTCCCTTCCACCAAATCAGGAACTTCCTTGGGTGAAGAGGGAGCTTGGCTATCATCTCTCTGCCTATTGCTGGTCTTAAATTAAGTCCTGCCAGCTTACACGAAACCTCACTCCCAGAGTTCTCCATTAGTCTTTCCTCTTCTGAGGCTTTGATATTACAGAGAGAACCCAAAAAGCCCTTTCTGGACTTTTCTAGTTCTCTTAATTATCCTCCCTACTCCTAATCTGGCCCAAGGCCACCCTCATGCCTCCTGGAATCCCAGTAGCCACCTAGTCTCAAAGAACAAATATGACCCAGCAACCACTTGTGGTGAAGGGACAAATCTGATATAGTCAAGCACATGGGTTACAGACTCCCACCCCTCCGCCCAGGGAAGGGAGGAGGGGTGGAGGGGGGGAGAGGGAGGGAAGAGAGAGAGCGGGGAGAGAGAAAGAGAAAGGGAGAGAGAATGAGAGAGAGAGAGAGAGAGAGATCTCTGTTCCAGAGCCAAGCTGAGGTGCTTCGGTGAAACACTTGGAATTTGAGAAAGAGAACTTAACAGTGAAAGAGGAACACAAACCTCTTTGCTTTCCTGAGATTGGGGATGGGTGTCTCTCAGTGGAATTACTTCGGGAACTTTAATGAATTAGGTCCTCCAACGGTATTTACACGGGTGTGATATTGAAAATATTAAGCATCTGATAAGGCTGACCATCAGAAAGGGTGCCAGGGTTATTGCCTTTGGTTGTTGGATTTGAGGAGTCTGGAGATCCTGCGGGAGGGGCCGGGGCCCTGGGCAACAGCTATTTATTATCAGGGACAGTACTTATATATTTTAATAACTGATTATCAGCTAAATTATCATCTCTTTTTCAATCTGGAACACCAGGGTCTAACTCAGGGTCTCTCAGGGTCTAACTCAGATCATTAGCTTGGTAGAATAATGGGTGTTTCCTGGGTAGCAGGCAGCGTGGACAGGGATGGGATTCCCAAGGCAGCCTTTGGGGCTCAGTCCTGAGAGGCCAATCCATGTCTGAGCTCAGACCAGTGGCTCTGGAAGATCTGTCCCCATCTCCAAGAAAGCAAAGGGATGTCCCCACCCCAGGCAGGTGGGGCAGCGCAGCAACTCACAGCAGGCGTGCAGGGAACAGCCCCTTGGGGTGAGTGTGGGGGAGAGAGGGTCATCCTCACGAGCACGGGCATCTCGTCGTCCGACATCGAGCTGGCTGGCTTGTCTCTGGCTGAGGGGGCAGCAACGACGCTGTTGGCGAAGCCCTGAGAGCTGGGCTTGGGCGCGAGAAGCTTGACAGGGACAGACACGGGCATGACCATAGGTGTGAGGCTTTCTGCCTCAGGAGGGAGCTGCGGTGGCGGCGGAGGCGGAGGTGGCAGTGGCTGGGGCTGAGGTGGCAGGGCCTTCTCTCCTTCCTCCTACACAGACAATAAAGGCTTTTGATCCTGGGTTGAGAGCAGCTCTCACAGTGGGCACGTACTCTGCTTTTCCTGAAAGGTCCCAGGACATCACGCGTGGGTGATAGAGGACCACTGAAGGGTGGTTTCCTGGCTGCATCTCCAAGTTCCTTGACTCACGTGATGCCAGTTGGCATTGGACAAGGCCATGCACTCTATTTTCTACATTCAAAAAATCTTGACCATGTATCACTTGTATATTAATACAAATACTAAAAATATTTTTTTTGTGCTTGTCACTGCTTTTAAAGGACAAACTTATATAATCTGGAAAAAAAAAAAAGCTCTTGTGCAGCACCTTCTAATTTGATGTCTCATTTTACTCATTGGTCAAATGGAAGACAACGCTCTTTTCCCTGGCATGGTCAGGAGATGGAGTCACCTGAGTAATCTAAAGCTTGGGTGAACAGAGTCAATCCCATAGTCTTAAATTCAGATCGACATATTCAAAGAATTGAGAAATTATTTTACTCTAACTCGAAAACTGCATGGATAGTTCATGACATGGATATCCTACACAGATAATCCGGAGGGTATTTAAATTAAGATCTTTAGATGCTAGAGTCTGACACCGATGCACTGGTGAGGAGGAGATGCTGGCTGAGAGCCTGATGGTCACATTAGCTTTCCTTGGTCATTTGATTACTGACCTGGGAGGCCCGAGTGACCTTTGTCTTAGGTGCTTCAAGCAGCAGAAGTTAAAAATAATATTGCATCTACATGTCTTCTCGGCTGTCTTCTCCAGGAGGTGGGGAGGCTGGAACCTCCTATAAGGATTTCTAGCACCTCTGTTTTTGGCCCTTGTTCATGAGGCCGGTGGAAGTAGGGACCGTTTGATCTGACTGGCTTCCAGTGTCAAAGCTTAAGCATTCCCCACAGGAAAGGACTGTGCCTCCCCAGGTGCCCTCATGGGGCTCACCTCACTCTCTGATGGCAGCAAAGCAAAGCAAGCAGCACACGGCCTGGGAGGGATGGGGACTGGCCCCTGCTAACCTGTTTGAGACTGGGGGAGGCCCTCATCCCACCGTGGGACCGCATGTGGCCATTCAGGGCAGGTAGGCTCTTGAACTCCTTCAGGCAGATGGAGCACGTCAGTTTGTTCTTGGCATCAAATTGCTCTCCAAACACTCCTTTTGGTTGGCCACTGCTCCAGGATAGAGCCAAATGGAGAGGACACACACATCGAGGAAGGAGAACAGTGATTTTATCCTAAGACTTCACATTCCATGACAAACCCATTTTATTTCATCCAGCGCTCCCATGTCCATGGCCTCACTTGTATCACCCCAATGCCCTTCAGGGGACTATGCCCAATTTACAGATGGAAAACTGAGGCTTAACAGTGCGAAAGGGCTTGTTCAAAGTTATGTAAGAGTTGAACAAAACGTCCTTCTTCATTCAAGGCCTTTAGGTGCTAGGTTTTCCCCACCTACAGCTTATTACCCTTCCAGGGTCAGCTTGTGCCCACCTCTTCCAGAACTTTCCCTTAGAGACATGTGTCTAAGTCTTCTGGTTCAGCCTCCAGACCACAGAGTTTCAGCACTCTTATTAGGTTCTGGTTACGTCTTTATTTATTTACCACGCCCATGAGGGGATAAAACAAGTCTGAACTGTTCACTGCAGCATTCTCAAAGCTTAGCTCTATGCCTGGCACATAGTAGGTACTCAGTAAATACTGAATGAATGGACAGTGGATAGAACATAGGCTGGGGAGTCAATCCCAGCATTGCTACTTACTTGATGTGCAACTTTAAGCTCTCTGAGCCTCAGTTTTTTCATTTGCAAAATAAAATAATAGCTAACAGTAATTGAGTGCTTACTCTGTGCTAGGCACAGAGTAATCATGCCGCGCCCCCGCCCCACCTCGGTTACTTTATTACACATAATGTAGTGTCTAGCATACAGTAAGTACTCAAACACAATAGCTGCCATTATTATTCTTGTAAACTTCTTTCAAGAACTGACTTTGAATTTGTAAATGAATCATAGGCGACAACCCAGGAAAACCTCCCAGTCTTCCCAAATACCAATAAACCTCCTTGCACCCATCCTACCTTGATTCCGGGGACCCTGGCTGGGCTCTGCCATCAGGTAGGTGCATCTAATTTTGAGCCATGCAGGACACCGAAAGAAAGAAGAGAAAAAATGTGTTTCTGACAGAAGGAGTCCTTGAGCAGCAGGAACCCCAAGGCTGCACGTCCAGGACTCTGCCCACTCTCCGCCTGACACGACCATGCTCACAGGTGCTCATGCCCTCGCTCTTCCACGCCTGAGACTTCTTCCCCTTGACTGCCCCCTAACTGGGGACCACAGAGCTGTACAAAATAGCATCATGCCAGGAGACCTCCTGCTGGAATTCTTCTCCAGCCTTGACCATGTCATCTTATTCTTATATCACAAAGGCTCTCAGTTACTTCTGGGCCTCAGCCTCACACAAAACAGAATCAAGGGGAGTTCATCGCTGGCCTTCACGCTCCATCAGAGCCCTCTCTCCATCTAACCTGGTACTCTTCTGCCCCTGACCACACTGCCACATGAGTGTAGCACTTGGAACATGCCAAGTCATGAACAGTACCCAGTGCATAGTAGGCTGTTTTGTGGTCAAATACATTTGGGAAACACTCAAGATTTAATAACTGTGGCCTACAGGCTGAACCTGGCCTGTGGACATGTTCTGTTTGGGTAGACTGTTCTTTTAAAATTCTGAATGAGAATCCCATTCAATGGGGCGTTTGTTCTCCAGGCTACCACAGTTGCCACCACTCCTATTGTCTCATACCAGGCCATTTTGCTTATACACCTTAGCTACCTGGATCTCTTTTATCTCTGCCATTACATGTGGTATCCCCTTTGAGAGATTCAGAGTGCACATCAGCATATTAAAGGCACTCAAAAGCCCTGCAACATTGTAACCTGTTTCACAGAATTGCCACCCTCCGCCCCCCCAAGCAAGCAATATGCATTAAACATTCTATGGAACTCCCGTACTGAGTAATATATTTTGAGAACTGCTGTCATAATGCATTCTCCATCCCAAAAGGGGAACAATTTCATAGAGCACACCCTGAGGTTCAAGGGGGACCAGACGCTCCCATTGTGTGGTCCCTGGGCACTTGATTCATTACATGCATCACTAAGGACCTGATGCGGTATTTTGGCCATTTTCTTAGTGAGATCAGATGCTCTATGGAGTAAAGGTTGAGTCAAACTGATTTTGTATTCCAGGCGCCTGGCACAGACAGTGTCTGGCACATGTAGGTTAACACTGGTGGAATGAATAAGTAACCAAAAAAACAGTTGAAGGGGTTGGAGACAGGACTGGGCACTGCATAGACTCAGCCCTGGATGGCCCCGTAGCTGAGATACCAGGAGACACATTCACCGTGAGAATACCTGGGGCCACATGGCACTGGGAGACAGTTGCTGGTGCTGAGGCGCCATGTTGTTGAGGTGGATCCCACTGGGAGACAGGAGTGGCCGATGGGGGAGGGCACTGCTGACCCGGTTCAGGTCTGAGCTTGCTGGGTCTCCCATTCCTGTATCAGGAGGCCCCAGGTCCCCGTGAGAACTCAGCATGACCTGGGTCTGCCTGTCGCTTGCGTAAGTCTTGGGCTGACTGTCCTCGCGCTGCTGGTGCTGGGACAGGTGGCTCTGCTGGTAGAGGGGATGGCTGTAGGGCTGCTGGGGCTCTTGGTAGTAGTACTGGGGCATGGAGCCTAGCTGAATCAGCTGGACAGCGTGCGCCTGCTCTGGGGTGTACTGGTGGGGGTCCCTGTGATAGGAAGGGGGCTGCAGATGCATTTGTTGCTGCTGCTGCTGCTCTTGCAAGTGCTGCATCATGGGTGGGGACTGATAATACTGAGGTATCTGCATTGAACTCTGCCGCAGCTGCAGCTGCTGCTGCGGCTGCTGCTGAGGCTGAGGTGGGCGAATCTGCTGTTGCTGTTGCTGCTGCTGCTGCATTTCTTGCATGGACATACGCTGCTGCCCAGCTTGCTGCTGTTGCTGCTGTTGCTGCTGCGGGTAATACTGGTGCTGCTGTATCTGTTGCATGTGCTGGGACAGCATCTGTGGGGCCTGCAGTGGCTGTCCTCCCTGCACTGACATCTGAGCCAGTGGCTGCTGGTAGTCGTAATATAGGTGCCCTTGGTTAGGGTGCTGCCCGACCTGAAGAGCTGGTTTAGACAGCCCACCAGTGAAACCAGGGTGAGACTGTTGGGACACCTGCTGGTAGCGAGAAGGGATAGCCGGTGCTGAGGACTCTATGGGCTTCTGGGACAGCAGCTGGCGGAGGGCACTGTCAGGAGCTCCATCCATCACTGCTGACTGGGTGTGCAGCACCTGGGCCATATTGTTGACCTGAATACGCAGGTTTTGGTTGGCAAACACCTGGGTGAAGGAGTCTAGCTTGTGCAGGACGCCACTGGTGAGTTTCTGGGTCCGGATCTCGCTGGCCTGGGAGTAGGTATACTGGTAGCCATCGGTGGGTTCAGCCTGGGCCGGTGCCCCCCACATCATGTTTGAGTTGGTCAGGTTGCCACGTAGCTGGACATGGTTTCCAGGCCCTGCATGGCCTCCCCACCCTCCCTGCCTCGAGGTATCCACTTGGCCAAGGTTTTTGGAGCCAACAGGCAAACCTAGACCATCCCGAGTATCTTGAGGGAAGTGGGGGGAAATGGGTGATGCCTGAGGGGCATCCATTCCAGCCCCTGTGACTGTATTCCCATAATTGTGGTTCAGCCCACTGTGGACGCCAAGTGGTGGCTGTTGGTAGAAAAGGTTCTCGCCACTGTGGGCCACATGGTTGGTCTTGTACAGTTGCTGATCTCCCATGGTGCTTGCCTTGGTTGTGAAATGTCCAGCCACAAAACCATAAAAAAAGGTCAGTGAAACAAAGCCAAAAGGACTGAAACCCTGAGAAGGTGAGAGAAAGCGTCCACACTACTCCACGGCTGACATGTCTGTGAAGGTGGCTGGAGCCAGGTGTTCCTGTTGGCCTGTACCACTCATGTACAGAGTGGGGGGTTTTACATCCTCACCAGGGCTGAGGTATGGACCAAACACCACCGTGGTGAAGAGATGCCGCTCACACCTGCAAGACAAATGCAAAGAACAGGAAAGGATTTACGTGGCTGTTTTGCAATGAGCAATTATATCTACCATGACCAGTTATAGAAATAAATACAAAACAGAAGACTTGATTAGAGATAGCCAGTTTCATACATGACATACCCTTTACACTGATTCTGCAGATCTTGACCTTCATGTGAGACGTGACTCTCACTTTTGAGCCATTGTGCAATGGCTCATTAGTCCATTGATTTGTTAATTCATTGTTTTGCTCACTGATTAATTCATCTATTCTTCTGGGATTCTGCTATTGAAAGTCCAGCACTATTCTAGAACCTATAGACATGAAAAAGTTTAAGACATTCATTAATCGACTTATCTGCCCAACAAATACTTATTACACACCTACGAAGTGTAAGACACAAAGCTAGGAAATGATTAAGACGTGGACCAGCTCTTGAGAAGCTTATAGTTAGAAAAGGTGATGGGTCACATGAATAAGTACAAGACAAGAAGGAAAGAAACACATGTGATAAAAAAGTAAAAATCACAGACATGGAATCTCATAGATTAGAGAGTGTATTTCAGGCAGAACAGAACTGAGGAAAATTTCATGGAGGAGTATTGCACTTGTTAGTTTGCATGTTAGGTCAACAGTTACTAGCTTGTGGACCCTCCTCAGAGAAACATCTGTGCACAGGGCTGACCACCTGTCTAGAAGCCCATGATGTGGCCTGGCACAAAAAAACCAGTTGGGCCAATCCAAGTCTGTCTCTTAGAAATACGATCTAGGAAATTTGGAGAGATCGGTCTAGTCTGGTTTGGGTCCAGGTTCTTTCATGGAGCTCAAACTGGGGTATGCAAACCCCTGGGAGTACATGAAGACTTTCCAAGCACTATACATGAGCTCAAAGTTTTAAGAGAAAGTTTCGAGAGGATCAATTCCAGATCCTCAACTCCCATAGAAACTCTTCTCTAGAACTGATGGGTGCTAGAGGTACAAGGCATCCTTTTATATCTGCTCTTTCACGATGGCCCTCCTCCTTTACAAAAGAAAGACAAACCTCTTACCCATACCATCCAAATCTTACCTGGGTCTATTGCCCCAGGGATTAACTGCTGGTCACTACACAAGAGGACATTTTGAAAAGTAAGCAAGCAAGCAACTCTTTCTTTTGCAAGCTGGGCGATTTCCAATTCTTTTTTTATTAGGAAGGCCAAACAGAAGTAATTAAAATATAGTTGTCAGTGATCGCTATGTAATTTTTGGCATATAACTCAGAAGTAGATCTAGAACTGAGCGACCCTGCTTTAACAAAATTGTATTTCTATCTACTAGTACATGTAAATCAAGGTTTTCATAAAAATGAAAAATGGAAAGACAATCGATGCCGATCCTTGTCTCGTGCCTCATGCAATATATAATATTCTTCTTTAAGTAAATAAACAAATTAAAGAATTAACCCAGTACCAGCAATATTCTATTTCTAGACCCAGGTGATAACTGCGTGAATGTGCTCACTCTGTGGTAACTCAAACTGTACACTCTGCCCTGGTCACATATTGGTGTGTCTGTTGTATGTCGATAAAATTTTTTATTTTGTCACTATGGTCTAAGCGCTCTTTTGTTCAGCTTAGGCCCTTCCATCATGCTGTTCCCTGTCTGGAGTGTTCTTTTACTCTTTCCTCACGTGGCCAACTGCTGCACATTCTTCAAGCTTGACCTTATCACTTGTATAAAGAACATGTTCTTGCCCTCAGAATCTACTGTAGTCCCTACTCTCATAGCTCCATGTACTTCTCCTTTTAGCATTTAACACCATTAAATTCAAAATACTATTTGTGGAATAAAAAAATTTTTTTATTTTGAGATACTACTAAGGGATGCATTTTCAATAAAATTTTAGTTTTCATGTTTATTAATTATTTATCCAAATTAGTAATACATTTATGTTGTTTTTGATCGACTGCATACTATTAATAATTGTAACGATAACTCAAACCAGAAGAAAATGTTAATACTTAGAGCTTTATGATTTCAGGAAATTAAAAAGTTTTAACTTCATATAAAATTGTTACGGAGAAATATGATAGGGAAATAAATGAATGAGTTTTAAGCATAAAAATATATTACATATATTATATTAGAACAAAATTCCACGGGGGAAGCTTAACAGAAATAAAATTTCAAGAAGAAAAACAAACACTGGCTATTAGCAAAGAGGGCGTTCATACATTTTCAAAATGGATGATGGTAGGTATCAGATTGTTACGGTGTTTAGAGTCTACCAGATGAATTTAAAACAGTGATGTAATAGTTTTACTTAAAAATATCAATGTTTATATTATACTGGACATTGCATCTTCTACAAACATATGACTAAAAATGTAGATGTAAACTTAAAAATGTGTGAGGGGGCAAATAGTTTTTAAAAATCCTTTTATGGGGGCTTTTAAGCAGAAAAGTTCAAAGACCACTGCAGTAGCCCACCTCCAAGCCTGAGCTGGTCTCTGACCCTTTCTGAACAACAAGACAAGGAGATGGACAGATTCGGAATGAGGGGTTTGGTTTGGTGGAATGGAAGGTGGATGAAGGGACGCAGTGGGAGGAAACAAGGGCTGGCCAAAGACGGCTGGGGCAGATCCTGAATGTGAAGTTATGCTTGCACCGTGAATGGCTTCTGAGCAGGGGCATGAGGGCTCTGGGCGTGAGAGCGCAGAGCTTCAGAAGCAGGGAGACCAACTCCTCTCTCTTCTCAAAAGGTGGTTCCTATCTCTGGGAGCTCATTAGAAATTCAGAGACTTCAGCCCAGATCTATTAATCAAAAGCTGCATTTTATCAAGAACCTCCCCCTACCCGCCCCCCGCACACTTGTGTGCACTTTAAAATTTGACAAGCAATGGATTAGCAGGTTCCTGCTGCATCTAGGTTGAGACATGATTAAGACCTGAATTTTGATAATAGTGCACAGGAAGAGAGGGAGAAATGAGAGAAAGATCCCCCATGCTGCCAGTGGGAAGTGACTCTACTTCCTCCCAGAGCTCTGCCCTTCAGGGGCTTATGACCTAGTCTGAGGAGACACCCCTCCTTTTCTCACGCACACTCCCTCCCTTGACATCCTCACCCACCACACATACCTTGCTGATGCCCAACAACTACCCACACCTCAGAGGAGCTGAGCTCCTGATCAGCTGCCTACTGTCTCATCACTTCCATATGCAAAAGTACAATAAACATCATCTTCCCCAAAATGGACGCTGTTCCAAAGTCTGGCCCTCGAGTCCTCCCTCCCCCTTCACCAACCACCGCTATCAATTTATCTCCTCAGATATTCTTAACTCCATCCATTTTTTCTCTGGTTCCACTACTAGTGCCCCAGTCTAACACATGGAATCGGTCTTCTGGACCGTTTCAACAGCCTTCTGACGGGTCTCTCTGTTTTCAATCTTGTCCATTCTCCAGACAGCAGCAGCCCAACATACTTTTCAAAACATAACACTGATCCCATCATGATGCCACTATTTAAAACTGTTTGATGGCATCCTAACACTCTCAGATCAAAAATCAAAATTATTAACAAGGTTGACAGGGTGTTGCGAAGTGTGTCCTCAGTCTTACAATAAATTCCTTTTCTCCAATTCCTTACTCCCTTCCCTTCCCTCACCCCTTCCCTCATTCCGGTCTTCTCTCAGTTCCTTGAACCTGCCAGGCTGTCTTTGACAACAGAAACTTTGCACATGCTGGTTCCCCCGATTTGGAGAGCTCTTCCCACTGTCTAGCCAAGTCTCATGGGCATCCTTTAGACCTCGGCTCAAATTATACTTTCTCAAAAAGTCCACCCTGACCCCAACCCCATCTACATCGGGGCCTTTCTTATATATTCTCATGAAACCATATTCCTTTCCTTCAACCACTCTTCTCAGTTTATAATTATACTTCCATTAGTGTAGTGCAATGATTTGATTAATGGGTCTTTCTGTGTTGGAGCAGGGATCATATCTATTTTTGTTTATGATTCTATTCCCAAGCCCAGCATATTGTAGCTGGAGGGGTCATATTTGTTGAATGAATGAATCAATGATTGAAAAAAAAAATAAGATGACGATCGAGTGTCTCAATGAATTGATATAGGTAGAAAAAGATGCTCAGTGTAAGCTGAGAGAATGTTAAGCTCTCATGGAGAATAGTTAGAATTCATCTTGGTCCTAATGGACAAATAGGGCTTACAGAGGTAAGAGGATCTGGAAGGGTATTCCAGAAGAGGGAACAGTGTGCACAAAAGCATGGACTCAGATGTAGGGGTCCATGCTGGGGCACCATGTCCTTGTCAGGAGCTCACCAATAACCAGGCTATATTCACAGAGGAGGGATAAACTGTGGGGGTATTAAAATGATGTCCAGCAGTGTTATCTTGTGGGCATTATGCCTGGTGATTTCAGAATACCCTGCCTGGCTTAAACCTTGCCACTTAATCGTTCTCGAAAGCTTCACACCAAAGTACCTCCTCCAGGAAGAATTACTTATTGAAACTCACCAGACTCTGACCACATTCTCCCTGCTCCTGTGGGTGGAATAAGAGCAAGATAATTTTACTTCTGTTGGTGTATCTGCTTTGTTAAGTGTTCCCAAACTGTTGGGGGAGAGGGATTACTCTCGTGTTCTGTGCTACAGGAACTATTCTTCATTCACAGATATTTTCAGAACTGGAAAGGCAGTTTATAAGCACAGAACCCTACAAAGTCCTAGGTGGGTCCCTGAACTGTAATTCCTGGGCCAGCAGAATCAGCATCATCTGGGAATTTGTTACAAATACTAATTTTGGGGCACCATCAAGACTCACTGAATCAGAAACTTGGGGGGTGAGGGCCAGCAGTCTGTTTTAATGCTGAGCCTTCCTGTTGAGTCTGATGCCCTCTCAAGTTGAAGACTGCCTTAGAGGTCCTCTAGTCTCCCCGCATTACAGATGAAGAAACCGAGGCCCAGGGATATAACTGCTAGGTCTAGAACAGTGCCTGGCTCAG